CCCCCCCCCCCCCCCCCACACACACGCAACCACACAGACCCACACACACACACTAAAGGAAAAAGAAAGTGAAAGTGAAAAGGGGGGGGAAAAACAAGTAGTGAATGGGTGAGAAATTGAGAATATTTTTGACACCGCCATCTTTGGCAATTTTTCATTTTTGTTTGGCTCATCCAAATGCCCTAAAATGTATAGCCATCTACCTTACATCATGCAAAACTCACTTAAAAAAATTCGAAAAAACTGAAATTATTTAGGCCCTGAAATATTTTTTGGCGGGGGCCGCCCTGTGGGAAGTTCGCCGCCCCCCACGCTCAGCCGGACACCCGAACATTTGGCGGGTGGTGGAGTCCCCTCCCAAACGTTCAGTCAGGTAACACTGTCGACAAGTGAATTTCTTTCAACAGCTTAGTAACTTTATGCATCACAGGGAGTCATTTTAACAGTGGGAACATAGGTTAATAGGTCCACCCAGCCCAGGCAGTAGGGGAGGGGTCCACCGGGACAATCCAGACGGGCCAGAAAATGCCTGAGGCTTTTGTTTCTGTTTTCCAGATTTTTTTCCTGATGTGAATGCGCTTGTCAAGAACATGTGGAATCCACCTATTTCTTGAAAACTTGTGGAAGTAGAGTTGGGGGGAAAGGGGGGGGGGGCGAGGAGGAGAGAACGTAGGCAACGGATCCAAATTGCTTTACAGGGAGTTAAAGGGGTGTATATCGACTTCTTTTCCATTTTATTTCCTATCTTGAAAATAAAGGGGCATACAGAGGTGACCCTTTATTAGTACCACATTTTACACATCATACGGATTTTTTTGAATTTCTCTTTTCGTTTTTCGTTTTTGAGCTGGGACTGCCCAGGACCTTGTCCCGGTCTTGCCTGTCTGGGTCCATCCAGGTGGACCCCTGGGGTCTCAGGCTGCCCAGACCACAACATAGGTGGTAGCACCATTTTTTCCACCGTCCACTTGCTAATTTTGCCAATGCCCAGTCTATACCCGCTGCCAACATATTCAGGCAGATTGGCAGAACATATTCACCTGACCCTCAAGCCACCCTTTTGTTTTTACTCAAAAACTTTGGCAGACCATGCAGTCACATGACACTGCCCAGCTTACCTAACCTGCCACATCTGCCATGGCTCCCTTGAGCCTGCACAGCCATCAGAACCTCGGTTTGACAGGACCTCAAGATGTGTCCTCAACGGTGCAAACAGGATACAAAAAGAAGAGAGAAAAAGTCCATGCTTGTGCCTGTGCAGACCACCAAACTAATAGATTGCAAGCAGTCAGAGATTTCATCTTATGCTGCAGCGCTCATTCCGTCCTAGGCAGATGTGGAACAAACAACCCAGAGATGCACAAGACAGTTTGATTCACATTCAGCGCCCCTTGGCATGGCTTGCACAAACAAGAGGTGGTACGCCAGTGATCAGCTGCGAGGTGCACGTGACACACAGCCCAAAGATGCAAACGAAACAGTTTTGACCTTTCATATTCCACGTACCTGGACATGATTCGCACCACCAAATGGCGGTCGTCCCGTGACGAGCTCAAACAGAATGGCGCCGACACTCCATAAGTCCGCCTGAACAATCCAGCCAACACATATCGACCATAACCAAACAGGTACAATTATTTGCACGGACCCTCCAGACAACAGATTTCTTTGAATTATTCTCAGAGCAGAAACATATGCACCGTTTACTCCATTCAGAGGACACTCAAAAACGTGAATGATGGATTCCCAAGTCTTCAGAAGTGGAGAAATTCTCAACCTTTTGAGCTGTTTCCCCCCCCCTCAGCAAGAATTGTTGTGCTAACAAAGTAGATCCTCGTCAAACAGCTGCACTTCACCAAAGCTTAAACCCTGGACCTCTGGATACAAATTTACTACCCAAAGAACTTTAACACCTGTCCACCAGACTGTTCTTGCACCCGGTGCCACCAGGCCTCAGGTCAGTTCCACACTACCTCTTCCGGCATTATGCCAGCCTGGCAATGTTGCTAACTTGCAGAATCCTGAACTAAGTATCGGCACCCTGGGGCACCCGCGGTTCAGTTTCTTCTGCAAACAGTAGGCTATTAGCCTATTCCCCCCCACTAATGCTGCTGAAATCCTTCGAGTAAAAGTCCGGTAAAGCGGATAATTTGAGACGTATGCTCAAGTTTCCCTATGAATTGGTCAAGTCCCCTTCCCTCATTCTTGCCCGCTCCTGCAACATCCTCACCAGTCCTGTTGCAGGAGAAAACCATACTGCAGACATGGGACTCCTGGCTTAGTGGGCTGGGAGAATTTGAGAGTCGTAGAGCAACAATCTTGCCACAAAAAAATGAGGCAAAGCACGAAAGAAAGGTAAAGGAAGAAGAAGGCAAAAAAAAAAAAAAGAACAAAAAAAGAACTTTGCCTGCTAGACTATCCATATGATTGAATTCATCAACTGACATAAGAATAGCTCCTAAACCATCTTAGCAGTTTGACAGAAAACAATAAGAAACAGTGTGATAATTTCGTTGAAAACATACACATGTAATGACCCGCCAAAACACAGACTGAGAACACTGCTGATTTCTGAAGTTCTGCCGATGGAATGGATGCCTTGCTGAGATTCCCGCATTCTGCTGTGTTTCTAAGTCTGTATGTGTGCGTGCCTGTGGACTTGCGTGCCTGTCTGAGTGCTTGTCGGCATGGGGGTGTGTGTGACCCGCAAGGGTACTTGCTTGTTTGGCAGGCCCGTAGGGCCAGTACTTACCTGTGGCCGTGGCTTTGAGGGTTGCAGCAGGGAAAACACTCAAGTAGCGGAGCCAGGGGCCCGCGGTGCTTAGAGCAGCGGAAAAACACTCAAGTAGCAGGTAGGCCGGTACCGCACCCAGTAGCAGTAGATGTGCCGGGTACTCGAGGCCGAGCAGAAGACAAAGTTGGCATTTTTAGAGGCCCAGTAGCGGTAGGCTAGATATAGGCCGGTACCAGTCCATTCAGTCTGAGTCTAGAGCCTGTACAGGCGATATCAGAGTCTGCAATGATGTTTCCCTCCGAAAAGGGAGGAGGTACCGGTTGCTTGGGAGGCCAAGCGGCCTGGAAGTCACCGCCCAGGAGGCAAGCAGGCCGCTATATCAAGAGGCCGAGGCAAGAGCTCGGCCTCATTCTTCAGTGTGCAAGTTTGGCGACACGCTGCTGGAGCGCTGGCTGGAGTAGCGCTGGGTACTACAGCGCTGCTGGGAGGAAGAAGCCGGGAGCTTCCACCTTGGCTATGGTGGAGCTCTACCGGTAGGAGGAGGAGGGAGAAGGGGACCAAGGATGAGAGTGGCGGGGTACTTACCTGGCTATGGCAGACACCATCTTCATCACCTTGTTAGGCGCTGCATCTGGAAGGCCAGTGGGGGCAGTGCCGCATCAAGGAAGCTCGGGACAGAGTCAGGCATGGCGGTTGAGTAGGCAGCGGCATAGCTGCAGGGAGTTGACCTCTGCAGGGAGTTGACCTGGGGACAAAAGGGCAACGACATAGCTGCTTTGGGTTGTCCTTTGGACAGGAGGGAGAGCCCTCAATACTCCGCCATAGCCTCGGCCTGTATGTAGAGGAAGAGGAAGGGTGGCCATGGCTACGGCGGACCTCATGTTGTGCCTGCAGTAGAAGTGGGATTTGGACATTGATTCTGGTTCAGCCATTCAACATTATTATTGTTATTTCTTGTTTGAATAAGAGGGGAGGAGATAAGGAGGAGGAGATTGGTTGGCGAGGAAGAAGAGCCTTGTCATTGGTCTATGCTGGAGTACATCTTCTTCTTCTTCTTTCTTACTTCTTCTTCTTTCCCTCTCTCTCCTCTCAAGTTCATTCATTTCTTTTTGCAATTGGACGACATTGTACTTTCTGATGTTTGTATACTTCGAAATTGGCCAGGATCGTAACACACAAAGAATCCCCAGCACAATTCTCCTGAGTGACTCCATTGGCGCAAGACAAAACTCACCTTGGCATCATACCTTTGAAACTGCAAAATCTCAGGCGCCATATACAGCGGCGATCCACAGAGAGTCTCCGCAAGACCTTGAGGCATGAGAGATCTGCAATGGCGATGGAAGCGATGAGAGATTGACGAATTCAGCAGCTGCAAAGTACGCACTGAAGTTACATCTTACCCTTCATCCAACCATCTAGCAATCAGCGAGCAGCGGCAAGACTCAAGGAGAGGAATAACAGCAAAGAGTTTAAGACGTCTTCGCCAGACTCTGAAAAGACACATCCTCCACCATCTATTGCGATCTTCCTTGCAGAGTTCTTTTGGTTCACACAATCGACTTCGTTCAGGCCCATGGTTCTTGGACACGTTACATAGAACACACAAAAAAAAAAATCAGCAAATGCGCTGGACCTATTCTTCCTGTCAACAGCCCCAGCACACGCAAAGACATGATACCTGAAACAAACAAAACAGGGAAAAAAAGGTGTCACTAGCATGCAAGGCACTGGGACCAGCAATGGTACCTGGCAAATCCAAAGTCTGCAATCTTCAGAGTCAACTTCCGGTCAGCTGTGGAAAGCAACAGATTCTGCAAGCAAAAGTGGCCAAAATCAGTGACAAAACTGGCTCACCCAATAATGAAACAGTAGTCACAGGCACAAGTTCTCACCCTCAACTTCAAGCCTTCAAGGTGAAAAAAAAGACATTCTCAGGGTTTTCTTCATATCAACAAGGGTTTCTAGTAACTTTCTACCCATGTGGGTTTCTACCAACATTCTCAGGGTTCCCTCGTATCAAATGGCAACAAAGTGCACCACTAATGGTGATGCACAAGGCAGGACGACTCTGCCATGCATCTTGTGTCAGAACTGTCAGTTGTTGATTTCTTAAAGGAGACCAAAAAAAATGTTCCCCCCATGCCATGTCCAATACCTTTAGCTGACGTTAATCCATAATTGCTTCTTTCCTTTTTGAAACCTTCTAGAAAGTTCTGCACATCCCTCTTCCAGCTTTTGAGCTTTCTTGCCCGCGTCTGCTATGTTTGAGTCCTTGTGTCTGCGTCCTTGTGTCTGTGTGCTATGTGTGCATGTCTGTATACATGTGTGGAATGCGCCATACTCAAACTCAGGTGCACCGCACTCGAACTCAGGTTCCGGAGGTCCCCAAAGGTGCCCTGTCGGGAGGCGTCATCGCACCCTATCACCTGCCGCCGAATGAGACTGCCGTAGGCCTGCTAGAAGAACGGCAAACCCTGGCATCCCCTCCCCTAACTCCCCCCATTGAGCCCACCCCTTCCCTCACCCCAGCCCCCCAAGACCCCGCACAACCCAAGAGGGGGCGCAAGCGATGCTCTCCCCCAACCCACACGGAGCAATGCCGTGTGGCACGCCCAGGCGGGCAGCCTCCAATGCGGCAACCACAATGGCTGGATCCCACAGTTCGGAGCTTAATCTTGAAAACCCTTTGCACGGCCAGACTTTGAGCATCGGACCTCTTGTGATCAATATACTTATTTGTTGGTAACTGAAAAGAAACGAACAAGAGTTCACCCATTTGAAGCATTGTGCTAATATGTATAGATCGCAAACCGAGGGCGTACGCGGCTCTTACAGCTGCCAAAATACCTGTGGCTTCAGGTCACGATGGATCAAATTGTTATCTCTCAATACACGCAATCCCGCCGCTGCACACACACAGACACACACACACACAAACACACAGAGAAAGGATGTGAACCTCTTAAAGAAAGCCAGCAGACAGTAAGTGCACCCGTAATAAGACCGAGCAGCCCAAACAACACGGCCAGGTTTCAGAGGCTTTTGGGGGACTCGTGATGACAAGCTGAAGGTTTTCATTTTTGCATGCGCACACAACAACGAACGGCATTACTGGTGTCACACAACCTGTACACAAAGTGCACATGTATGGTGGAGCATAGCTGCATCACACTCATGAGCGCACACGCACCTTAACAATGCCAAAATCTGCGGAATTTCTGTGTCATGTATCTCCAGACGTTTCCCCAGTCGCACCAGTTGCTATCACATAAGCAGTCTCAAGGCACCAATGCTTACTTAAAGCGTCATACACTTGCCCATTCTTTGGCTATGGTCTATGCTGCCGAGTCCACACTTCACATGGGCTACCACTACCATTTTCTAGCAAAAAACAGGTTTATAACTTATATACATTCATAATTAGGGTGTGTTATGTTCAAGGAAAGACCGTGTCTTTGGTGGAGCAGGCATAACAAAGATTTAAAGCGACGGCCAACACCTGTCGGCACTAGGGTCTTTGCTATAGCAGGCAAAGTCCTGAAGAAACTGTCAGCACCCAATGGCTGGTTTTCAACAAGGTTCACTTCTGAAATCCAGACTCTCAACTCGCTCGGCCTAAACCACATTTCCTGCATCTGTGGAAGCTCCAATCAGAAAGGCGCAACAGGCCAGTGTGTTTTGGTAGGAGACGACGGCTCAAAAATCAAACAATTGGAAAAAAAGTTCAAAAAACAAAAGCGCCCCAGTCAGAAGTTACTGAAAGTACGCATACTTTCTCTTGGAATTTTTGAAACCTTTACTTCATAGGCAGAGGGGGGAGGGAAGAGGACTTTCATGCACGTGGACAATATTCTGTGTTCCAGTGCAGTGCACATAGCACACCGTAAATGCAGACACTGCACACGCAAAAGTGCACTATAAGCGCATACGCTGAGACTTCTCTGGATGCATTTGCCCGCTGTCAGGGCCACATTCAGTCCAGCCTCAACCTTTTCATGATGTGTTCTGGGTCCTCTAATGCAAGCTCTGAGACCATGGGCCCTGTAGCAGCGAGAGAAGATCGCCGATGCGCTCATTCAGGGAGAAGCCCCACTAGTGCTATGTTCATGCTTGTAATGGATGAACTTCGACAGCACGTAATACTAATAATGTTGAGGTTCATCCTTTCACAGCATGAACATAGCACCCTCGCTCTAATTGATTGTCACTTGCAAAGATGATGGATCTGGACCCCAAAGTCGACAGCTGATAATCATTGGGGTTCGACTGGAAGCTCATTCAGTTGCTGCTGGCTCAGTCACTCTGGGGTTCATCATGTGAAGGGACCTGAACACTGCCCAGTTCACATCTGATGATAGGGGGAATAAAACAAAACTGGAAGTCTGGAATTAAAATCCTGTGTACTGCAGCACAAGCGCGCTCGGCACAGTTTGGAGCCCACAGACCACTACGTATGAGAAGCTACACTGAAAGGAGAATAAAAAACACCCATAGCATGCATATCATACCACAAACTTCAGCTGCACAAAACAACTGCGCAAAGCACAGAACCGCAACATTCAGCTGCCCACATCTAATCAGACTAGTTACCAAAGGCACGAAGCACAGTTCCGAGTATCCGGGTAGGACATGAAAACACCCGATCCCATTCCGACCTCAATCCCTGAAATCGTCTTGCGCCATATGTACTGATTTATTTTGGGAGACATGGTTCAAGCCCGGACCTGTCAATTTCTTGTGCAAAGAAGAGCCATACTAATACTACGCACGCGGGATAGAGTAATTGGTAACTCATCAGGCTCATAATGTGAATGTTGTAGGTTTCCCCTTCTTCCATACTTCAACATTTTCTTATGGAAACCCTACGTGCTTTGAGACCAACCATGCACGACACTTCCACGCCATGCTCACACCATGAAACACACACACAAGAAACACACTTAGTGGAACTCGAAGATAGGCTCAGCCAATGAATTCAATTACACAAAATTGTCCTTGTACAAGGTGGGTGGTTATGGCGGCCATGCAAGCTCTCTCTCTCTCTCTCTCTCTCTCTCTCTCTCTCTCTCTCTCTCTCTCTCTCTCTCTCTCTCTCTCTCTCTCTCTCGCTCGCTCGCTCGCTCTCGCTCTCGTGCACACGATGGTCACTGGCACCCAGCGTTGTTGACTACGTCCTGCAAGCAGCGCAAAACAGCAGATCTCAAAATAGCACGGCAGCGCTTCCGCGTGGCCACGCAAGTGAATATGTGCTGACGACTTCGACAGCAGGACTTTTGCACTTGACATTTTGTGCTGACGACTTCCACAGCAGAATTCAGACGTCACTGAGTCAGCCAGATGTGTGCCAAGTTGACAAGGTACTCACAGTGTTATGTGCCATGCTGTATCTCGTTTAACAGTGCCTCCGATTGAAACGAAATCCAACATGGCACATAACAACAGGATGCACACTTGGAGATCAAAGACACTGATTAGTCTATTTGGCAGATCATTGGTCATTAATATTTTTCTCTGGTCAGCTGATCCAGATTCAGACACACTAACTCAACGGGTGGCCTGGGTCAAGCTCATTCAACCCAGAAGACAAGGTCTCACTCTTTTGGATCCTGCACCACTCGTATTCGCCCTTCAGTGCAGAATGGTTGCGTTGCTGCTCCTGGCCAATGATGATGAAGAACGGAAGCTACTTACCCAGTTAATTTTGTCCTGGATTCTTCGTCTCACAAGCATTGACCCAGCCTGCCTTGCTCCATGAGATGCAGTAAAAATCTATTTCGATTAAGACTCACTGAGTCCATCACGATCTGGTGAAGGTTACCTCTCCGGAGCTCAAGACCAACCACTTTTTTCACAGATTCTTACCGAACCTTTCGTTTGGGAAACAGTTTATTTTTCCTCCAGAAGGCTCTCCATACCCGTGGCTGGGTGAAAAAGGAGCCTTTGGGAGACTGTGGATGGAATGGGTGTTTTTGTCATTACGTACCCAAGGGATCAGGACCCGGGTTCTTGGAACACCCTACAAACTTCCGGTTAGTTTTGGGGAATTTCCCTTGATGGAGGCAGCGTTGACAAGAAATTATGGCCGCCGCTCTGCCTGACTGGCATCAGATGCTTTGTGGGCAAAGGCAGGTTTGTGACCCAGTGGGTGCGGGGTATTGTAAAGCATATGCAGTCGCCGAAGATCCCAGAATTTGATGATAAAGTTGAAGTCTTGATCTGGGCTTGCAGCTCAGGATACAACGACCATGGCCACCCCCTTCACCCAACTGGTTTCAGGACAAGTCCCCGACCGATGTGGTTCCAATTTTGGCTCTTCCTCGGCGCCGCAGGAGACGCAAAACCCGCATGCAGCTACAGGATCTACTGTTGATCCTTCTGCCTGGTTTCCTCAGCCAGGAGGCACGCAAAGACAACGGGGCTTTGGCGCTAAAAAAAAAATATACAGGCTTCCTTTCCCGTTTTTCTATGTTTTTGCTGACCTTCTCCTTGCTGGTCCAAGCGGGACATCATCCCGGTGCAGACTCTCTCGAAGCAGACGGAGTGATATTGTTCGGCACTTGTCAGATGTCAAACATGCTTCCCTGTTATGGCTCATGGAGTCGCAGTTTCATTTGCCATACCCACTGCAGAATGCCTCTCTACTAAGAACCAACGCAGAGACCAGTTGAGGATCTGTTCCATCTGTGGTTTGTGTGGCCCACTGCAGCAGGCTTTCCTGTGTTGGTAATTTCCCTCTCCTGTCGACTGATGACAGGATTGGGGATGTTTTGCTGGGCGGCAATGTGTACAATCTTCCAGATGGGAGACTCTCTGTGTCTGAGTTGGTTGCAGCAGGTGTCTGTGAGAGGATCGGTCAATACTCGTTACATTACCTCTGAATCGGCAAACTCCTGTATATTCAGCAGCAGCAGAGCATGCAAGCGGATTTTCTCCAAAGGCACAAGTAGTCTCTGATCACCACCCAGTCTTTCCCCCTTGACGCATGAGGACCTTATCCCATTCCGTGACTTTTCACACCCAAGTTAATTGCTTCTTTTGCAGGTCAGCCCTCACTGATATTCCTGATGGCAAGCCAGAGCCGGCCCGACCTCTGCAACTCTTTTTAGGTCCATGCGTACCAGCAGGTAACTGAATAGGGCCGGTTATGTTTTTGTTTCTGCATTTTAACCACAGTACTTCGCCCATACATCGGCCGCAGCAAAAAATAGAGTTGCGACGATTCCACTTGAATGAAATGTGGACTGAAGCCACCAGGCCCGTTCGGCTCAGCGTGTCCAGGCTCGTATACGGACGCAACTTTTTGGGGAGTATTGGTGGTTTTAGTAGAATATTCTGCAGGTTTGCTTGTCCTTCTTACGCCTGTAATATCATGACTTGTTCTTGTTTCCGTCAGTAACCCACCTGGTAGTATTCCGTCTGACTTCAGTTCCCCCTCACTCACCCCCCGGTGACAACTACCGTCGCTTCCCCAATAGAATGTTGGTCATTATTGCTGTATCTAGATAGAAAGCTGCCCCGAGTACAGCGATAATGACTAGACGTTCTATTCGGGGGAAGACAGTGGTTTTGGCCCAAGTTTCTCTTTGTCTTTGTTTTCTGGTTATCCTATTTTCGTACATATTTGGCAATATAGTTTCTCTCCACATCTTTTTCCATATCATTTTTGTCTATTTTTCAACAGAATATTGTGGCCGCTTCCATTATGGATGGGTTTGTCTGGGTGCTTTGGTTAGTCTCCCAACCCCCACGAGAACTTGGTCTGGTCATGTGGAACCCCACCCGTACTCCTCTTCATGTTTCAATTATCTTTACTTGCCAGTGATGAGCACCCAGACTGCCACACCCCAGAATAGGGGTCTTGTGTTTTGTGTTAAATAATAATAATAATAATAATAATAATAATAATGATAATAACACTAACAACAATCAGGGTAACCGCCGTTCGGTACAGGCTGAACGCCCAAACCCGAACGCCCAAACGTTCGGGACCCCCCGCCAAAACGTTCAGCCCGAATGTGATATATATATTTTTTTTTCTTTTTTTCTTTGTTTTAAGTTCAAAAAAAACAAAAATGAATGCATTGCGGAGGGGGGGTCTTCACACTCCATATTTTTTCTCATTAAAAAAAAAAGGTAGGCATGGAGGCAGGTTGCCTGCCAAACGGCAGGAACCCCTCCCGCCGTGTGTGTGTGGGCGGGGGGGAGGGGKGGGGGGGCGACCCCCCCACTACCAGCTAGCCAATCAATCAATCAATCAATCAATCAATCAATCAATCAAAAACCAAGAAAAAGTTGGAAAAAAAAGGCACAAACTTCTAGGAATTTCGTTATTTTTTTTCTTCTCAACAGATCATAGCAAAATTTTAGGGGTGGGTGCGCTAGGAGGTCAGCTATCTATAGTTAAAAAACAAATTGGCCCCAAAACGGTATTTGGCGAGCCCCAAACCCCTTCGCGGACGGGCCATGAACCCCTCCCCAAACGGCTGAACGTTTGGGGGTCGGCCCAGGGGCCTCCGAACGTTCGGCCAGGTAACCCTGACAACAATAATAATAAAATCGGAGCAAGAAAAGCTCCATGTAGTCATAGATTTCTGAATTCTCAGCTTCTCGGTGTCGGAAACTACTCTGCATTTTCAACTCCTCCGCAGCAACTCACCTAATTGACGCATGAAGTTCCTTGCAGTAGCTTCAGGAACCCTGCCATGGCGCTTAATATACTCTGACAAATCCCCTCCAGCACAGTACTCCAGAACAAGGAAGATCCTATCATGAGACTGACACACACAACCAGCAAAGAATGCAAAGCCAGGTGACAAACACAAAATCAGGCATGAAATTCAGTCAATGGAGTTGCTACCCTGCATTCCAATGCCCCTTCGCTGCATCCCAAACCTACCGTCTTCCCCTGAATACAATGCACCCTCATCATGAATGCAAACAAGCTGCTCCTCTAGTGAGTCTAGTCCTATACAGCCATTAAGAGAGTGGGTTGTGATTAAAAAAATGCAAATCTACCCCTCCATGCCTGCAGCCAGATCGTCTACACACTGCCCACCATTGATGTTCAAGTTCAGGTTTCAGTAACACAACATGCGAAGGTTCAGGGGAAAAAAAAAAAAAAAAAAAAAAACTGCAAGTCCTCAGCATAGTTCCATGATTTCCCACTTGCAAGAAGGACGGAACAAACACGGTTGTCAAGCACCCACAATTTTCCACTCACAAGGAGGGAACAAATGCGGTTCGTGATACAGATCAACAAAGTTTCAGAACTCTAAATCGTCCCCCTTCCCCCTGCCCTTTCGGCACCCCACAGCCTCCGCCGATATAAACACAGGCCCCATTCATCGTCAGGTGTAGAGCTGATTAAACCAACATTTGCACAGGGCACGTGGGCATGTCAGTCCATGGTAGACAGGTGGCCTGAGAGCTGGAATGGAATTTGGTGGGTATTGGACCTCACCGTTATAACGAGAGAAACGGACCAACTCACTGAGTAGCTGGAAACTATTTCATCACGGCATCCACGTTGAATTTTTCAACGCACGATGAAACCGCGTTGAATCCACCGTTTAAAGCCGTTTTGACGGCTTTCATCACGACCCGGGAAAGGCGAAAACGGGTTTTTAGGGGGCTGGTACGGGGGTGTGTGGCATGGTGGGGGTGCTTGAGCAACCCCGCCTACCTTCCGAAGAAAAGAAAAAAATTGGGAAGAAAAAACAAAATCCGTCGGGCACCTGAAATTTTGTGTTTCCTTATGCCGACGGGTGGCTTGCATAGGGGAACCGCGCCGTCAGGAGTGAGGGGCCGAGGGATAAGAGCTGGTCGTTGCCACCACATCCCTCACTTCAAGTGCAGGGACAACCGTTGGAAGTTGGAGGAGGAGGGAGTGGGGAGAGCGACACAGAGAGAGAGAGAGATGGCCGGTTTTTGCCACATTGGCGAGAGCGCAGCACCTCCCTCCAGTGCCTCCACCGCGCACCACGTGTAACACTTTCACCACGTGTGAGCCCTCGGAGCCAGTAGGGTGACGACAGCTTGTAGTGGAGGAGCTGCACGGGAGGACGTCATCGAGTGGAGCAGCGGCGGCAGCGTTCATCATCATCAAACGAACCCAGGTGCGCCGCCTCCGCCCCGACAACGTCCTCTGCCACCCGAGAGCCCCCACACCCCATACCACCGACATAAAACACACCAATCGCCGGCCTGTTAGTGGACCTCAACCACCAGCAACCACCACCCTGTTAGTGGACCGGCCCCTGAGGAGGGGGGGTGCTAGTGGCAACACTTTATATCCCCCTGCTAGTGGAATGGTCCAAGGTGAAGGCCCTCGTGGCCTGTCCGATCCACAAGCGAAAGACATTGTCAGGTGGGGAGTTTGGCTGGGGCGGCACATCTGTTAGAAGATAACGCAGGTGTCCTAAGATGAGCTCAATCAAACGATAACAAATTTCTCGTCTGGAGCAAAACAGTAAAAGCTCATTTGATTTTGATTCCCAACATGGATACAAACTGTGAGAGCACGGCCTATCGATCCTTCAGCCTTCTAGGAATTGAAGCTAGAGGTGTCAGAAAAGTTACCACAGGGATAACCAGCTTGTGGCAGCCAAGCGTTCATAGCGACGTTGTCGGCTCTTCCAGTCATTGTGAAGCAGAATTCACCAAGTGTTGGATTGTTCACCCACCAACAGGTAACGTGAGCTGTGTTTAGACCGCTGAGGGACAGGTTAGTTTTACCCTACTGATGCACCAGCAGTTAAACAACGATTTTTTCCTTTCATCTTTGTCACTTTTACCTTTTTGTTATTTTGTAATCTTATTGGCATGATTCCTCATAGTTTTACAGTGACAAGTCGTTTTGTGGCCACCTTTGGTCTTTCATTATCTCCCTTTATTGGGGTTACTATATTGGGATTTCAAACTCACGGACTTCATTTTCTGAGTTTTTTATTACCTCAAGGCGTACGGTAGGTTGGCATGTCGTGTCTCATTATCACAGTCGTGCTCCGCTTTGTCGCACAGGTTAAATTTCAAATCCACCCAAGTGATGTTGAACACCTGAAGCAGGTGAACTCACTATAGGGGTAAAGGGTCTGCATCAACCCGTGGCTCGAAAACAGAGCAAAGCGCAGAGTGTAGATCAGGTCAATGACGAATGATACATGGCTGAGAAAATAGTTGTTTGGCCAATGGCATGGCGTTAATAAATGTGATCCATGCTTTCACCTCCTGCTAGCGAGGTACTCGTGGGTGGAGAAGCAGGGCTCAGTGCTCCGAGGTGACACCCTGCAGGCAAGAAACACCCTCTACTTGATACAAAGTGGGGGCCAGCGGACCAACTCTAAACGACAATGGCTCTGAAACCGTTTGAAAAGCTGTGTGAGTGAGCAGCTCGTTGTGAATGCAAGCTTGAGCAAAGACAAAAGGAGGGCAGAGATTGTTTCAGTGGCCTTTGTCCAAAACTAGAAAGACAAGACTGTGTGATAAGAAGAAGTAATAAGTCAATTTTCTAGTTTCCTGCGCCTCGAGTGCAAGGTTCCCCACATTGTATACTGTCACACGACCCTTAACTGCACATGCATAAAAGGCCAAAAGCCGGAATCGTAGCACGCAGCACAACAAAAGTGAAAGGGAGAAAAATGCACACAGAACTTGTCTTGCACGCGCACGCGCGCACACACACACACACACACACACACACACACACACACACACACACACACACACACACACACACGAGAGGAGTTCAACACAAGCTAAATACATTGTCACATACAGTCCGAGAAAGCAGCGTGCATTTATCACAGACAACCGGACCAAACTAAACCAACTCTGCAAAGGTGCTGCAACAAGCTGTTTCGTCGGACTTTCACCGACTCGTCAGAGGTTGGATGTTGCATACTGTAACGTGCAGACCAGAACAAGAACCGACCTTTCAATACAAAGTATAAGATAGCACAACGGAAGACTTAGATACCAGTGATCCGAACAATCAATGTTGTAATGCAGCCCTGAACATACATCATCATCATCGTTACATGGTGTGAATGGGCCTGGTGCTTCACACAGGAAGACAGCGCCAGCCCGTACCATACACAGACGAAGAGGAAGGGGATAGACGAAGAGGAGGGGAAGATGGGAATGTCGTCAACACCAAGTCTTCGGCACAAGCCCAAATAGTCCCTCGTCGGAATGTCTGAATCCCAAATGTCAAGTCTGGATCCAATGTCGTCAAGTCTCAAGTCACAACTCTGTCTCTCTCTGTCGTAGTCTGAGAAGTCAGGTGGCGAGAGGGTGAGAAGAGAAGGTGGACTTAGAAGAGGAAGAAGAAGAACTCTCTCTCTCTCTGTGTCCAGTACTAACCTGTGAAGTTGGCGCCTTGATGCAGGTACCACGAAGATGGAGCTGGAGCGATGGCGCCACAGGTAAGTAACACTGGCCTCCGCCAGTCTCTCTCCCACTCTACAATCTACTAACTACCAGCGCCCAGCGATGAAGACTACAGCTACAGCTATGGCGCCCAGCGCCGAAGACTACAGCTAGCGCTACCACTACTGCCTAGCGCTGAAGACTACTGCAGCGCTCCTCCTGAGTGCTGCGGCCGAATCCTGAAGACTACYCKTSCTWCCTACCTCGKTGAAGTGCATGGGAACCTCCTATGTACTACGGGTGTGCCTCATGAGCCTGCCGAAGGGAGGCAGGGGCTGCAGCTGCAGCTCCTGCTCGAGCACATGAGGAACAGGCTATTTTGGGCCTGTTCCGCATCCCTGTTTCCGTGCCTGAGTCTTAGGGGCAGGTCGAAACAATGAGGGCCTGAAAATGGCCCTCCGTTTCAGGCTGAAAACTCTGGGTCTGAAAAGACCCAGAAATAGGCTGAAACGAGGTAGGGCCTGCAGGCCCTCGTTTTTCAGCATCCAGGCTGAAACGAACGGGGCCTGTAAGCCCTGAGTTTTAGGCTTTTAGGCTGAATGTCCGGGACGGGCCCTGCAGGGCCCGTGTGGCTACGCAGTATGCCACATTGGACCTCGACAGCAAATTCCAGTAGCTGCAAGTGCAAACGTCCCTGACAAACCCTCCTTCCGCATGCTCTGCCACCCACGTCACCGCTTCCTTGTACAGGAGGAGAACCAGCGAAGTGACGGGCAAGTATCAGTCCACGGCACCCCCGAACATGAAAAGGTCATAACACAACCTTACCTGGAAAGGAAAGGTCAATAGGCCAGGGCCAGGAGAGTCGGTACCCATACCAACTTTATGTAACCAATAAAAGTTATGGCCACCACTTCCCGAGAAATCAGCGAAAGGGAGGCCAATAGTTTTCACTATGCATCGGCGAATTACAGAGGCTGGAGTGGACGGGTGGATTGATATGTACTTACTGGTCAGGTGGATGGACGGATCAATGGATGGGCTAGGAGCAGATAGATAGCTGGGTGATGCAGGGTACATGGACAGGTGGCCGATGAGTGGATGATGGGTGGATGGGTTTCCACAGTGTCTGCACGCACGCACGCACCATCAACCGGAGCTTCCCTACCGTAACTTCACATTTTCCCCATCTTTCAGCAGCTCACTGTCAACACCGATCTCTCTCCTCCTCGACATCCTCCATCCTCAGCCTGCTACCGTTTCCTTCCAAATAGAAGGCACGGTCATTACGCCTGTACCGGTCTCTCCTCCTCGACATCCCCAGCCTGCTACCGTGTGCTTCGGAATAGAAGGTGGCACGGTCATTACGCCTGTAGCCAGAATGAAAGTTGGCCCAAATACAGCTGCC